GCCCGGGCCCGGGCGCGCCCTCGCCGTCGGGGCGGCCGTGCGCTCGCTTTCCCTGCCGTGCGCCGTGCTGCTGGCGGGTGTCACCGGGGCGCAGGCAGTGCGTTCGCAACGAGAGGCGTTTCGTGTAAGGAAGTTGGTGTGCAGTTTTTTTGTTGCTTCTTAAAAACTGATCTTATTTCTGATTTTTTTTTTTTTTTTTGAGGAGGAAAATTTATTGGGAAAAGGAATGGGGAGTAGGAACAGCTCCTGAATGGCTTGCCCCCGATTTTCTGTTTTTAGATAATGGAGACGTTAAAGAGGAGTTTGGGCTGTGTCGTGAGCGTGCGCTTTCTCTTTCGTTCTGAATAAAGACACTTAGGTGCTTTTTCAAGGACTGTGACCGGCGCGGTCTCGAGTTTCTCTCCTTTTTTTTTTTTTTTCCCTTGGGATTGAACCCAGGGCTTTTCTACTGTGCTACCTACCCAGGCAGCTCTTTAAAAATTTTTATTTTATTTTATTTTGAGACAAGGTCGCATCAAGTCTCTTAAATTGTCTAGGGTGCACTCAAGTTTATTATGACCCTCCTGCCTCAGCCTGCAAGAGTGCTGGGATTGCGGGCAGGCCACACCGCGCGTGGCTGCGGAGTCTTTTGAGCGAGGGAGAGCTTCGAAGTTCGGGGCAGGTGGGGCTGGGAGGTGTAGTGCTGCGTTAATGTGATTAACAGCGTCACTCGCAGGTGCTCATGAAACGCTGTTTTGTGCTGAGATGTGTATTGGATCCTGAGTTTCTGGAGGCGAACAAACCCCACAGTTACTCTTTTCTAAAGCTTAACCTCAAAAGTTCTTTCCTTCTTCTCAATGTGGCAGATGGAGCCACTAGTTCCTGCTTCAGTTGGGAAGGGTGGCAGGTGTACTGCAGGAAGTGTCCCTGTCTATGGAAAGGTTAATATGTAACTTTTTTAGGGCTGAAATTATGGGGTTTCACTTCCACATTGTCAGTTTAATAAAATTTTTATTTTAAAATGAAGGGGGAAAATAATTCAGCGAAGTGTTACGTTAATTCTCTTTCCCATATTAGAAAATTGTGGTACAGTGTATTTACTGAAGGGTAATGTACTCCTGGGTGTGTTTTCTACAGTCTTTGAGGTAACATTTTCTCACTTTAAAAATCCCTAGAGCTAAACAGTGGATGTTTTCCTGTTATAAATGGTCCAGGGTGGGGAATGTAGCTCAGTGGTGGACTTGGCCTAGCCCCTGTGAGGATTTGGGTTCCATCCCTAGCACCAAAAAAAAAAAAAAAAAGAACCCAACTCATGGAGCACCTTTTCATTTTGACCTTTTATTTACCATTTACAAATACAGTATTGACTTTGATAGTATGTACTAAAAAGGGACGGATTATAGTAATTTGGTTCCATATTTATGTTTTCCCTCTAGTATTAAAACTGATGAAACTGCTTATCAAAAAAGTGGAGGAGATTAGCAGTGCATTTGTTCCGAACACAAAGTTGAGTTACTCCCCCCTCCTTTCTCTCTGTCATTTTCCTCCTCCTGGCTAGGACTGATCCCAGGGCCTCACACACTGTCACTAGGCTATTACCCAGCCCCTTCATTGCCTAGTTGTATCTTGTTTTTATATATGTTTTTAAAAAGTATATTCATGCACCATGTGACTTTTCATTCAGCAACAGACTTTGTATACGATGCCATATACCATATAGCCTAAGTGTGTTGTAGGATCTACCATCTAGATTTGTGTGAGCTATCTGAGGTTCATACAAGGATAGGAACACCGAATGACACATTTTGCAGACTCTCTCCCAACTATTAAACAATGCTTGACTGTCTTACTTAGCTTCTCAGAAGGCCAAACTGATCTCCTCTCTATAGTCATTCTTTTTTTTTTTTTTTTTTTTT